TGTGTGTATATATATATATATATATATATATATATATATATATATCACTTTTATGTTTACCAAATAAAAACATATGCTTTTATTTATTAAGTAAATAGAATAAAAAGAAAAAGAAAATAAAGAGAAAACGTATGAGAAACAAAACATTTATTACTACTAGAAATGTGGTTGACACATTTACGTAGAAACGTAACGTTGGATCGTAAAAGTACAACATGATTTTAATGTTTTTGAAGACGATCTGTCGTCAGGGTCAGGGTGCCCCTACCCCTCGAAATGGCATATCAGGAATAAAATACCACCAATCACCATTTCAACCCTTTCCTAATAACTCTATTTTTTTTTATAAATTTTAACAAAGAGAAATTATTATTTTTTTATAAATTATATTAAATTTTTTAATAATATAATTAATACGATGAAACCGACCACCACTTCGTCCTCAGTCATAGTGTAAAAGAATTAAGAGTTGTATTACCATATTATTTTATCGGGTGCAAGCGTATACATTTTGAAACTACAATAATAGAAGCGCCACACCGACTAGAATTCGTCACAATAAATTTATACATCTTAAAATGTAAATTGATCTCCATGATTGCTTATTTACAACGGCATAAATGTTGTCTCTTAGTCGGCTAAACATAATTTTTTTTTAAATTTGTTAAGAACCTATACAGATAATACGTCGTCTCAGTAGGGAGGCCTCAATGACCATAGGTCGAACCTATCCAATTTTTACAGGGCTATTTTGCTGAGTTTCTTAGAGAGAGTTGTCTCGCGTCCATAGGTATTCTCTACCTATCCATCTATATCGGTTTCGGATACATATACCCTTTTATTGAAGGTCGTTCGAGCTTTTTCTGATTACACTATAACAATATCATATATTGATTGTTAACAATACCAATAGATCTATTTTGTTGTACTGTATTTAAACGTTTTAAATTTTATGTTGTATGTAAAGGTTAAAGGAGAGGTTTCTTTCATGCATGGATCGAAGTTCTTGATGCTACTCAAGGTACAAAGGTTTTGTGGGTCAATCTGGCATCGCTGCAACAAGATTTGATTTCTATAATATTTATAAGATATAATATTTCAAAATCTCTAATAAAATACCTTCTGATAATTACTAAATTGTCCAACTTTTTTCAACTATTGTTGTTTAATAAGAATTTAAGCTATCAATCATGTATTGTTCCCAAAATTAACCATCAGATGGGCTTACTGATGGGCTTGTGGGCTGCACATAGGAGTAAGCCCATTTTACAAGTACCATTTTGATAAGCGTAAATATATACATTTTTACGTCAAAGTACCTTGCGATTAATGTCAATTAGACGCCTAAAAATGTCCATTTTTATTTAAGATGTTATTTAACTATAGAGGCCATTAAAGTTGAGAAAAAAAATGTGTTGATTATGTGTTCTTTTTGGCCCATAACAGCAGCCCAAGTTTTCTGGCCCATAATAGCAGCCCAAGCCTTGTGAGAAACAGCAAACAGCAGCAGCCCAGGGCTGCTGCCCAAAACAGAAACAGAGCGAGAGAGAGACGTGGGCGGTGCGATGGAGACGGGACTTCGTGCAACCATCGACGTGGGCAGCAAGGGCAGAAATCGTGAGGGTTGTGTCGATGGAACGGGGGGGATTAAAAAGAAGCTGTCGTCGCGTTGAAGAAGGGGAGAAATCGAGAGGGGAGAGAGGCGAGGCAGCAAGCAGAAATCGAGAGCAGAAAAGGGGGCTGTTCGATTGCAGCAGATTATCGAGAGAGACAGCAGAATCGAGAGGCCGAGAGCAGAAAAGAGGCTGTCGATTGACAGCAAGGAGAGGAAAATCGAGAGGAGCGAGAGGCTGTAAGTCGTGAAGGAGAGGATTGGCTGAAAATCAGAAGTCGAAAGAGGTAGATAGAATTCGAGAGAAGCTGTCGATTGGAGAGTCGATTAACAAACAGAAGCAGAAATCGAGAGAAAGCGGTAAACATATTTTCAGAATTTTTGGAGTCGATTTTGGATTTCTTAATTTCAGTTCTTCATGCTCTACTGCTTTCTACTATCTGTAAGTTTGATTTCTGTTTCAAAATAGAGTTATGAGTTGCTAGTTTCCTGTTTCTAGTGATGAGATTATAGTTAGTTTGAATTGAACTTTGTTGAGACTTGTTTAACATTGAGCCTTAATTGGATTTTATTTGCACAATTCTTGTTCTTGTGCAGAACCGTCTTTCAATTTTGGGATTTTGGTTTTGAGAAGTATCCCTTGAATCCTTTAGCCTAAATTTGAATTGCTAGTTGTGATTAGGAATCCGTAATTGTTCTTAATTTTCACTTGGTAGCAAATAGTGCATCAATAGACAATCAAGTTTATTGGGTTGCATTATAGGACTGTGTAATCTAGCTTAAATGTTCGGGCGTCCATTCATTAGTTAGGATTGGTGCTTGTTTATTGCGTAAGGCGATTGGTAGGTTGAATTTTACGTCCGTGACTAGAATCAACTTAATCAATTAGGAACTAATCTATCGAGCTTCTCATGTTAGTTTAATTATAAGGACAAGCGGAGTGTTTGGCACGTGTCGACACTTACGGCCGGTCTAAAATCTATTAAGAAAATGTTTTTATACAAGTCAATGATACATGATTTAATAAAAAACTAGTTATACTCATCACTAGAATTTATTCATTATTATTTAAGTTCTCAATTTATTTTGCATATTTAGGCTGTTTATAAATCATTTAACCCCCCCTCCCCCTTTTTATATATTGTTTTAATGTCAATGAATTTGCACGAGATTACGTCTTGSGTTTACGGTTAATACCGAGTCCCTGAGGAGACGACCCTACTTATCGCTATTACAAGTGTGTTTTAGAGATAATAGGCTTATTTCATAAATTTTATTATTTGCCGGACTCGACACCCGTCACATTTCATTTCAGTCACATCACATTTCAATATTACAGTAAAGTAAGTAAACAATCAAGGTTGATTACTTACAATTTAACGAGTTTAATGGTATAAAATGCGTCTTATTCATTCAACTGTACCAGTGTTTTTCCATGGCTTTATCGTTAATCCATTAAGCCAAAATGGATATATGGTCCTCATTAAGCCACTACAAACAAATTTATAATAAAAATGCCCAAGTATAAAAGAGGTTGTCTGGTGTCTTATAATATCAACAATCTTATACAGACAAGATGTTCGTCACAAATAACTTATTGTGTCACATATTTAACATAGCTGGTTCGGATTCATGTACCTTCATGTTGCTGAACAATTCTAACCGTCCCATGCTGCGGTTCGGTACAAAACGGGCCCAATAATTTCAATACAAATACCTCTGGCCCGCTTTGAGTTCTCTAATTCCGACTAATTCATTCAAACAAACGATATGGTACGAATTGAGTCATTAACGAGACCTTATCTGATAGGGGTTCTAGATACCTCTTAACTTAAATTTGTTCCTAAAACTCTATTGTACCATACGGAATGAAGAACCATATGAAACGAATCGTACTTGATAGGCTCGGAATGCCAGAAAAAGTGTTCCCGTACCTTTTTCACTCTCTCGTACATCTCGAGATACGTCTCCTCGGGGATCGAAAGCAGTACCGTCTTCAGATTCGGAATATCCTTCTCCAATATGAATACAGCGAAAGATTCCCAGTTCAAAACCTCAAAAAACGGGGGCACGTAATTATCAGAAATAATCACGGGGACACAATTGTAAAATAACGACTCCACGACTCGTGGGCTGTGCACTGCAAAACCTCGAGCGCAGATACAGTACTTGCTCGTTTTCATGTGGTCGATGTAGTTTTTATTACCTTTAACATGAGGCATTCGGCCGAAGATCCTCATGTCCGTATCGTTTCCCCAATGGCTTAACAAAACTGGCCGGACATAACCGTGCATATATCCAGCAAAAAAGGCTAAAATCGTTCTTTTGGAAGATGGCTCGCCTCCAACATCTTTCAGAGGATTTTTTGCAGACCTTACGTACGTTGTGGGAAGCGAAACATCCTTGCCTATGTTAAAACCTGTCCGGATATCGGCATTACAAAGGGCTCTGATCGTATTGAGCAACCGTCCCCTCGTTTCAGCTGGGGCCTGAGGAAATACAAAATTGATAGTAGATCAAAAGAATGCTCGTTATGTCCAAGGACCAAACTCACCCTTTTGGAACAACAGGAATAGAACAAATTGAAAGTTTCTATATATAGAAACATGATGAAAGAAGACCATACCCAATCATGGCAACCAGCCAAAAAATGATCCGATCCATCGGTTCTGTTCCAGAATGGATATTTAGTTATAAGCATTTCAGTGTGGTTCTTCATGAACTGAATCAGATTATTACGACTGTGCGAGTGAGGAACATAAAGCGTTAACTCAAGCAATCGCGAACTAAAAGGTATGTAAAACAAATGAGCTTCACTTGGGTCTTCCGTAACGAACTGTTTGTTTGCTTCCATTAGCTTCAAGAACCAACCCTCACTAGCATATATTCCCTCTAGTATCCAATCATGGAAAATCGGCTTTTCTCCATCTTTGTATATGTAAACTTTGAGCATTTGTTCCATCATCTCATAACTCCTGAGCATTTGATGATGAAAACTTCATCGAATCAGGTTTTTTATGTGTTTGTATAGTACGATCACTCAATTTTCCTGTAGATATAATTGTTCGTGTAGATAAAAAGAAGGCATTTTAATGAATGTTACAAAGATACCTTTTAAACATAGAAACATTCCTGTAAATAGGGGCGTAAAGCTCTGTATCATTGTTCGTGATGCCGGCATTCTCAATTTGTGATTTTGCTTCGAGCAGTTGTTGATCAACCAATGATGACGATTGAGATGGCTGTCATGGAAAAATACCAAAGATAATTAAGAATGTGAACATAAGATCGACAATGTCTACATGTAAATAAAAACTTGACTAACCAAATCAGCATACGAAGTCATATACATACGACTAAATGTGGCGAAGAACGACCAGTCTGAAGCAGTTCATTCATCTGGGAAATTGACATTACTGGCAAAGTCTCCATTTTGGGCTTCTTTTTATCATCCATGGAAAGAATACTCAAAGATGAACCATTTTTCGTACTTTTCTCAGTGGAATTTATGGAAGAATTGCTTTTTGTTCCAATATCCTCTTTTGACGAAAGAGGGGCCTCGCTATTGATTATGGACCTGTTATCACCTGAATATGAATCATTCGAGTCGTGTGACTTGAAACTCTTTTTCTCTCCATACGGGATATAAGTTTCTCGAAGGAAGGAAGCCCTGGCACCGGAAAGTAGAAATGATATACCACTGAAAATTGGAAGTTCAGAATACTGAACCGTCAATACCACAGCAAATGTAATTCCGAATAGCCAAATCCATTTCGTAGTTCGCTTTGCATATAGATAGTGAAGAAACCCATTATCCATGTAGATCAAATGGATTGAAATCGGAGCTTTATCAGAAAATAGTCGGTGCTGAAACTCCAACAAACTCCAAGAATGTTGCCTGATTCTCCATATGCAACAGTTTAGCTACAGATTCGAATCCGAATTATACACACGTTATGAAGCTGCAGATCGTCAATGTAATTGATCAAATCTGCAATGTTTACCTTCTCAAAAAACGTTAAGAATCAACTGAATGATTGTGTTGAGCTTTTGTAAGTTAAAGTACAGATTTCAAGGAGCAAGTTACATGTTTGACAATTTATTCTTAACGTCCTTCTAGAAAGATACTTGAGTTCCAATAATTGCAGAGATGTTACTGTTGTGATTGGATTAAAAGCAAATTGGTAGCACAATCATTGTAGTACTTCAATAGGTAAACTGCATCGAATCCTTCCATATTGAACAGAAAGATTCTTCGTTTTCCCAATACGTTTATATGAAAAAATCGAAATCCCCAAAATGATCCATCGTTTAAATTATACAGGCGTCGATCACGATTATACATTTTCTGACCTTATTAATTGTTGTTTACATTGATGCAGATTCAGATCACATAGAAAGAATTTACGGTTTCTCGAGAAAATATTGAAACGAATATCAAGCTCTTGATCAATAAAGTAAATAATCAATAAACATGTAACTGCAAAACGAAAAATATAAATGGAGATGGAGATGGAGATCACTCACAGTTGTTGATGAAGATTGGTTGAATATTTGCTGTTCGCAAAGAGATTAATGTCAGAAAAGGAATCAAGCGTCCATAGATCAGAGATCCAAATAGCATGGAAAAACGCGTGGTTTGAAGTCGAATTTAGATCAAATTTTGTTACTTTATAATAAAAAACACAATCCCCTGGAATTTTTATTGGGACTACAATTATATTCGAGGAAAATTTATTAAAATAATCATTTTTTATAATTGGTTTCACTTTTTATTCATCTTCTTTTTTAAGTTTACCAAAATAGTCATAAGTCCTTAAAACACTAAAATTCACGTCTTTAAATGCAGACTCAGTTAAAAGACAAAAAAAAATTACACATTTTATCTTTGTCCGCAAAAAAAATTCATTTTTCACCCAAGTTCGTAAAAAAAATTACATTTCTCACCTAAGTCAGCAAAGTTATTTACATTTTTCACTCAGGTCCGCAAAAAAAAATTAAAAAATTACAGACCTAAGGCTATTTTGATAAAACTTGTAAATAAGTGGCTAAAAGATGAAACAATCAGTAAAAATGGTTATTTTAATTAATTTCCTTTATATTTATTAATTAAAGGGTTGCTTAGGATTGTTTTATTTAGAGTGATTATTAATTTATTCCGTTATGATATCGGTAATAAGAAGTTTTTGTGTTTGGACGGAAAAAAAATATTGTTACCGGTTTGGGACTGATAATAAAGAGTTTTTGATATGTCACTTTCTTCTAACTTATTAACTTATTCCGGTGTGGTACTAGTAATAAAAAGTTTTCGGTTTTTGGAAGGAAAAAAAAATATTTATCAGCTTATTACATTTTGGTATTGCCATAAGGTAATCCAAACTCCGATTTTGTATCACATAAGTTGATAATCACTTTGACAAAAAAACATAAGTTGTTTTAAATAAGCAATATCAAACACACTGCAATTAGGACTATTGTCAAAATCCCATTAAATTACTACTTAAAACTTAGAGAGATGGTCAAAATAGTCATTTTTCTTATATAAATTGGTCTCCTAACCATTCTTCTACATGATCTACCCAAATATCACTATGTCCGAACTTCCCTCACTTGTGGACCCAACTAAAAGACAAAAATAAATTATCAGATTTGATCTACGTCCATAATCATGACTGCCGTGTTCGTAATTTCGACAGCCAGGTTTCCAATTTGATTTTTTTTTTTTGTGTTTTAGCAAAGTCCGCAAGTGGCGCACATGAAACTTGAGGAGGGAACTTGAGGAGGTAGTGATATTTAGGTAAATTAGGAAGAGGAAAAGCTAGGAGACCAATTTATATCTGAGTAATGACTATATTAACCAATTTTACTAAAACTTGTCATAAAATTATTGGCATTTTTTATATTAATAGATAAGGAAAATTTGTTTTTATATACTTTTGCACAAATTAAAACAAGATTTAATTTAGTTCAATGAATAATCTTTTTCTCAATTAATATAATAATTATTCAATTTTTTATACTTATTTTGATTGATAACCTATTCATTTTGTATTATTTCATGATATGAATACTCATTTACGAAAAAATCATGAAAAAATAGACAATAAACTTAACATCCACTACCATATTACAAGATCAATAAATAATCTATTAAAATAGGTTTAAAAAACTAAGAAAATTTTAATTTATTACATTACTTTGAGAGGGAAAAAGAAAATTATGACATAAGAACGAACAAATGACCAAGAAACCATTCGCCGGTACATAAATATTCACAATGGTTGTTAAAGCAGATAGAAACTGTGGTAATGATTCCTCAGGCAAAACCGACACAGTTGGGTAGGTAAGGATCTATGACCCAATAATCTGTTAACCTAGTTCTTCGCCTCCAAAGTACTACTATCGAGATTATGTCCTTAGAAATATTTCAAGAACGTGTCCAAACAATCACAATTTGTGATGGAGGCAACTCTAATTGAACCTGTTTTGTTAGCAACATTCCGACCCATAAATTATAGTTGGTCTGAACCAGATGACGACCCCATAATAATAATTATAAGTAAAAAGTTGTGCAACTTCGGGTTTATTATTAGAATGGATGAACTAAAGTGTACCATATACATACAAAAGCCAAAATTCACACCCAGAAATAATGCAATGCCTGAAGGAGATGTGTTCTAACTTTTACTCCTTGTGTAAAAGAATACAGTTTGACTTTGACTTAATTACATCAAGAAATGAATAAGAAGTTCTTTCAATAAGTCAAATTTTATCTTCTTTTTGATACTATATATATGTATGTATATATATATATATATATATATATATATATATATATATATATATATATATATATATATATATATATATACATATCTATAGGGTCAGGTGGGAAATCTGCAAAAAAATGAAAAACTGAGGAACACCTTTGTAACCGTTCACCTGGACGGTGGTTGGTGTGCACATGTGCATACAAGTAACTTGTAAGCAATTTGTCTGGTATGCACATGTGCATAACATGCATACGTGTATAAAAACCAAGAAACAACTTCAATTACTTGTATAGACATGTGCATATCATCCAGTTAAATGCTTATCAGGATGTTGCTTAGTTTTCATCTTTTTGGGTTTTCCTTTGAAACTCTCTCTCTCTCTCTCTCTCTCTCTCTCTCTCTCTATATATATATATACACACACACACACAACCTACTAGGGGTTTACTCTAAAAACTCTATTATACCATATGGAGTGCAGGATCATATGAAAGATGTCATACTTAATAGGCTTGCTATGCCAAAGAAAGTGTTGTTGTACCTGTTTAACCCTCTCATGCATCGCCAAATACCTCTTTTTCGGGATTGAAACAAGAATATTTTTCAGATTTGGAATATCTTTCTCCTGAATGAAAACTGCAAACGATTCCCAATCCAAAACCTCGAAAAAAGGCGGCACGAAATTGTCAGATATAATCACAGGAACACACTCATAGAAGATGGCCTCCACAACTCTAGGACTATTAACTTCAGAACCTTTGGCACATATACAGAACTTGCTACTCTTCATATACTCAACATAGTTCTTGTCATCTTTCATTTTTGGGAGTCTTCTAAAGATTTTCATGTCAGGATCTTTGTTTTCCCAATGTTGTAACAGAATTGGACGAAGGTAACCGTGCATTTTGCCTGCAAAGAAAGCAAAAACCGACCGTTTGGAAGGGAGTTTACCTCCAAGATTTCTTAATGGATTCTCGGGATGACGAACATTTGTTTCAGGGAGAGAAGCGTCTTTTCCCAATTGAAAACCGGCTTTTTCGACATCTGTATTGCAGATGGCTCTTATGCAAGTACCCATGAATTGTCTTGTTTCATCCGCACCCTTGAAAGATGAATATATGGCAGAAACTCAATCTCTACAATGCTCAATTTAGCACAAGGATTCTAACCTTATAAATTGCAATGAACAAAAGCAGTGCCCTTATTAATACTCACATTGTGTTCTTGCCCGAATACAAATACCATTCATTGTTTTGCACCTCCGTCCCCAAAAAGGTAGACTTTTGATGATAGATTTTAGAATCTAGTATTCCCCAACTTCAAACTTGTAATAGGTTCTTTAGTTTTGTGCTTCAAATATATATACACACACACATATAGAGAGAGGGGGGTTGGGAAACCCCCAAAAAAGATGAAAAACCGAGGATAAGCACATGTGCATACCATCCAGATGAACGGTTACCAGGGTATTCCTCAGTTTTTTATTTTATTTTTGGTGTTTTCTCCTGAACCTAACCCTATATATATATATATATATATATATATATATATATATATATAGAGAGAGAGAGAGAGAGAGAGAGAGGGGATCAAACGAGAATGCTCATTATTTAAGAGAATATGAAAACGGTCAAATCACGTGCAAAATCACATGGATTTTACATTAACGGTCAAAAGAAGTTATTGGGCGACTTTGGCCACGACTTCAAGTCACTTGGCAAAGTGGCAGTGAACACATGTGATTCTGTACTGATGTTAGTGTACAATCACATGTGATTCGGCCGTTTTCTTATTCTCTTAAATAGGTATTGTTCTTGTTTGAACCCGACTCTCTCTCTCTCTCTCTCTCTCTCTCTCTCTATATATATATATATATACTATATTATAAAGCATTTGACAAAAACTCTTAAAAACCATTTTTTATGCATGAAGTACTGTATATTGATGCATATTACTTAAAATTCAAGATTACAMGTAAATTATGCATAAATACAACTTATTAAAGCTYCRTGCTTGAATTCGTGTAACCAACTGCGGATAAACATAATCAAATAAAGGATAAACATCTCATTTTAAAATATAAAAAATCTAAAATATAATTAGGATAATTATGGAGTTCTAACAAAATAATTAATTATTATCTTTATAAGAAAATTATATTATTAAACCCAATATAAATTACTTCGTTATTGAATCTAAATTAAAATTATAATAAAATATTGAATTAAAAAATTACACAAAAAATATGAATTTTAAATAGTTAATTTGATACTAATATCGATATATTTTTGTCAAATTTTTATGATATCTTCAAGTTTATATTTTATTCAAAAATAAAAACATCATCCATTTTTCAAAATCACATAAGACCATACTATAACATCGACTTAGATAAAGAATAAAATGAAATATTAAAATCAAGATGTATTTCGCTACATTACACGAGTACCCTTCTAGTATATATATATATATATATATATATATATATATAGGGGAACGATCAAATGAAAACCACTCAATTTGTAAAAACCGTAAAAACCTCATTCCACCAATCATAATTTTTCATTTTGTTCATTTTTTTGTAATTATGAGAGGTTAATTAATTATTTTTATTGTGTAGAATGTTACTCATGGATATTATCATCTTTATTATTTTAATTTTAGAGAAATATATGAAACAGTTTCATTGAAATTTCATTAAGTAGTATATGAAACAATTTCATAATCATATGTGAAACAATTTCATCAAAAAAAGTATTATATGAAACAATTTCACAAGATTAAACAATTTCATGAAAAAATTTCATAAAATTAAACAATGAAATCGACGGATGAGAGTAGTTTTTACGGTTTTTACAAATTAGAGTGGTTTTCATTTGATCGCTCCTCTATATATATATTCTTGTAGTTAATCATGTTCCATACAGATTGCAACATTTGATGCCCGAAATGTTTGACCATGAACCAAATGTTTTATAATTCACCAGACACAAAATAGAACATTTTGAAAGAAATTCAGTAATTATCCTAAATGAGCTTAGGAAAGATGTGACTTACCCAGTCATGACAGGCAACAAGAAAATGGTCTGCTCCACTGGTTCTATTCCAGAAACTGTATCTCCCTGAAATCATGTCAAGGTAGTTCTTCAGGTATGGTACCACACTCTCACGATCATAAGAGTTGGGGGATAGAGTTGCTTTCAACATTTTCGAGCTATAAGGAATGTAGAACAAATGGGCTTCTTTCGGTTTCCGGGTAACAAATCTTTTGCTTGCTTTCATTTGCATCATAAACCATCCCTCAGATGCATATATTCCCTTCAAAACTCTCTCGGGCTGGTTGAATATCGGCTTGTCTCCCTCCTTGTATATGTAAACCTTGAGAGTCTTTTCCATTAATTCATAGCTCCTGCATTTAATAACAAAAAATGCAAGGGTAATTTACATACATAGTTCAATAAAAGTGATTTGACTAGAAGTCAAAATATAATACCCTTTACAAATTATGAAAATCTTGTGAACTAACCTGTATAAAATATGTAAATCTTGTGAACTAAACTGACACCATCAATAACTAGTGAACAATGGGTAAATAAGTAACTTTATCTTGAAAGTTTGCCAAGAAAGGATACATAGCAGCCAAAACCAAAATCATATGAATCAAAATTGCAAGATTCAACTATGTACTTGGATTAATAGAAGTATTTGACTATTAGCTAAATTTTAAAATACCCTTTAATAAAAATTATAGAAATCTTATAAACTGAAATTAAAAGTATTAATAACTTGTAACAATAGGTAAATCGATAATGTTAGGTTGAAATTTCCCCAACGAGAAGGAAAATTGCAATTAATATAAGAAAACTCACAACCCGGTTAACATAATTTCTTTAAAAATTAACGGGACAGACAGAATAATATCCTATGGTCACAGATCATTTAGACCAAAAATGCAAGTTTAAGAAGCCATATTTGCCTTTTGAACTATTAGTAGGATCAACCACCAAAGACACTAACGAAAGAGACAAAGCAATAATTTGGATAAATGATTAACAATATAAGCAAATCCATGTTTCATTACTAACTTTAAGGTATGCTTACCTCCTAAATATTGAAATATTACGGAACACAGAAGGATAAAGGTTATGATCTTCTTCATTGAACTGAGCATTCCCAATTTGCAATTTTGCTTCTAGTAATTGTTGATCAGCTCTTGAAGGCCACCGTGGTTTCTATATAAACAAAGATGGAATCGTGTTAAAAGAACAATATCAGAATTGCCAGTTCAAGATACTCATGTTAAAAGCACCATTTCACATAATCATTTTTGAAAATCCAATTTCAGGATTCATCATACCATTGAATGAGAAGAAGCACGATTGTGGACTAAAATATTGTACATATCAGAAATTGACACTACGTTCCTCTTTTGCTTCTTACAAGAGACTTCTTTCACAGATGACACATTGGCTAGTGGGACAATTCCTCTCAATGATGCCTTGTGTTCTTTAAAGTTCTGCTTTTCTACTACCTGATTTCCTGATACACCATTCCCCCTCAAATCTATGGAATCATCCAATTCCTTTTTCCTTGTATCCTTTCTGATGTGTGCATCATGTCCCTTGTATGTAGTCCCAATACCCTTATCGTGAACATCAGTAGGCTCTGTACCTTCAGCACCATGGGGGATGTCCGCTAATATTTGGGGAAACGGGTATGACTTTTCAGGCGGGTAGCTTCCAGTTTCTGTTATCTGAATCTTGCTAGCAGAAAATAAAGATGATATGACATCACCATATGGAAATTCAAAATACTGAAATACTATAACAACAGCAAACACCACCCCCACAACGCATGACAATTTCTGAAGTATATGGCCCATTTGTATACAGCACTGAAATAACTTGTCCTCCAAAGACACTGACCATACCACCCCTGCAGTATTGCCAAGAAATTCTTTAAGATGTTTACTAATAAGTAATAACTACTTAAATTTAGCCACAAGTGCATTGAAGAAAGCACAATAACAAATCTATTTATGGAAGGATAGAAGTGAAATATCTCATCTGCCCAGGTTCGATTCCAGATGAACACAACAATTATAGCCTCTGAGTTTATCAAGGTTGATTTCTTGCGGTCACAGTTTACCAGGATTAGTCTAGGCATAGCCTAGACTAATAGAAGCAAAGAGGTGAAATATGTGAGGTCATTCATCATTGTCAAAAAAAGGGTCAAGCAATATGAACTTGCAAGATTTGGGGACAGAAGCCTATATATGCAATATTTTGCCAGATATCTGCGAAGAGGTTGTGTTTTTGGCTCGAACCCATTTGAATCTGAAGCAGGTTAATTAACACTTCAAAGTTCCAACTTGATATGGATTTTAAACTCTTCGAGAATAAATTGCTAAAAACAATGAACTTTGAAACTAATTACAAACAAAATAACACATATTCAATCACAAATTACTAAAAAAAACCTAGATACTCTAAAAAACCAAATTCAAATCGTGGAACTGAAATTACACTATCAGTGAGCTAATTTACCCTAATAATCGAGGATATGAATAGCACCTGTAACTGGAAATCACCAGATTATAAACAAGGAGAGACAAAATGGAGCTAATCTTGTAGAGTGTCCATGGAAGATCGGTTTTTCTGTTATTCAGTGCAACAAGTTAAATAATTGAAGGGAAAGATGAGAGATGATTTGAATAATCATTTGGTTTGTTTAAAGCAATCGGGAATAGGAAATAAACAATAAACAATAAACAATTGGAATAGTTAGATAATGAATTGAAGTACGTGGGATACTACCTGTGACGAAGGGACGCCATGGTTAAACTTAGGAGCTTGCTCATGTTCATCTGTGAATATGAAATAAAGAATATAAAAACCACCGCTAAAAGAAAAATATAAATTTTATAATTTAGAAAGAAAAAAAAATTATTTGACATGGTTAAAAAGTGGTTTATTTTTTCAAATAATAAAATAAAAAGGTGCAATTAACGGTATTAATTTTAAGGTGAAGGATCGTGTGAGAAACAAAGTTAAGGTAATAAGCATAAGAAGATATGGACCATTGATCAACTTTAATTTCAAACTTACTCATGAATTGCGCTTCATATAGAGATTGGTCTAGTGTGTCTCATTCTAATGTGCATTCAATGGTGAAAATCCCTTCTTACGCTTCTCTTTTTTGACCGGAACCCAACCCTTAATTTTAAATCATGAAAGATTAAAATAAATAACAAAACAGCCATTTTTTATGTATTTACCCAAATAGATAGTTAGGATTGGATTCCTGTGAAAAGTAGAGTTAATGAGAAGTGTAAGAAGAGATCTCCACTTTTGGATGCATCGGATCAATCCCTGTGAGAGACGCAATTTATAAGTGGACAAGAGACTAAAAGTGATTTACGTTTTTCCACATTAACTCTGTTTCTCACACGTTTTTTCACCTAGATGGTTAACTACATGAATCAAATTCACCAATTGATGAATTTTTGATTTTGTTATAAAACAAGTCCCACATGCTATAAAAAAGTCAAAAATATCCCCATCCATCTGGCCAAAATACCATGTATTTCGCTAACACCAAGGGTTTTTGGAGAAATACCGAGAATTTCTTGACTTTTTATGAGATGTGGGACTCATCTTATGACAAAATCAAAAATTCGCCCGTTGACAAATTTGTTTGTTGAAATTACCATTTATTTTGATAAATACATAACAAAAGTAATTCTTTTATGTAATTTTGGTTATTTATGTTGGGGTGCTCATGAGTTAGGTTGATCAGGTTGAATACAATTGAACAATCCAACCCAATGCTTGCAAAGTTTGAAAAATCTTAACTCAACCCAACCCCACCCAAATCGTACGGGTTGGTCATGTTGATACTTTGGTACATTAAAATAATCTTCTAACCTTGAATATGTTATTTCTCTACTCATACTTCATTTTCTATCATCAACCATTTGATACAACTTATCCATACTTCTTACGTATATCACACTTAGTTAATTTTTTCAATTTACATATATTTGTTCAAAGTTATTGAACATATATACGAATGAGTTATATAGAGATCTGAATATATTAAAAATATGTGTATATGAAGCGCGTACGTAATAGTGTAATTGTCTAATGTAATATTAATAGAAATCCAACAATCATATTAAATCCAAAAAATAAAAGGATATCTAGTTCATTGGGTTGGGTAAATCAATTTCAACCCAATACCTACGGTTTAAAATTTTTACAACTCGAATAAACATCGGGTTTTCGAGCACGGCTTATTTATGTGATTTTCTCTTTTATAATCCTTACTAATAAAGTTGTTTAAATATGGGGCCCTTTTGATTAATTAAAAAGTTATCTCTTTTCTTCTATAAAATCTTTTTATCGGTCTGGAAGAGACGTCGGAGATGCTTTTAGAATTAAATGGTTTTTTTTTTATCATTTTATGAAATATTTTCAAAAAAAAATGTTTAATGTTGGAATCTCGAATTGAATATATATATATATATATATATATATTTTTTTTTTTGACTTTTATTTTTTTATTTGAAAAACAGAACAGTTTGAAAAAAATTTCTAAAATTATTAATAGAAAACTTAACACTATTTTATAGGTTGGGTCACTGGTAATCTTTTGACTTTGGTATTTCATAAAATATTTGGTACGACTAAAACAAACCCGTAAATATGGATAAAAAACATGATACTATACCATATTCTTAACGTAATTGATTAATTTTAATCAACTGAATTTCACTATAGGTATAATCCCGCTAAATATTTCGACTAAAATAACTCTTTTACGATCCCATCACACTCAAACTACTCGAAAAGTCCTTAAATTAAACGATACAGAATATCTTATTCCGAAATTGGTAAAAAAAATCTCTATTCACATCAACTAAATGCGGTCACAAAGATTCATAAAGCTTTATTTCACTCTAACTAATTAATGGGGTCTACTCTAAAAACTCGATTGTACCATATTGAGTGCAATATCATATGGAAAATATCATACTTAACAGGCTTAACATGCCATAGAAAATGTTGTTGTACCTTCTTAACTCTCTGTTGCATCACCAGATACCTCCTTTCCGATATCGAGACAAGAATCTTCTTTAAATTCGGGATATCTTTCTCCAGAACGAAAACCGCAAACGACTCCCAGTTCAGGATCTCGAAGAACGGTGGGACGAAGTTGTCAGAAATGATGACCGGAACGCATTCGTGGAAAATGGCTTCCACAACTCTAGGACTGTTGACTTCATAGCCTTTAGCACAAATACAGTATTTGCTACTCTTCATGTATTGGATATAATTTCTGTTGTTTTTAGATTTCTTTAGTTTCCCAAATATTTTCATGTCGGGATCTTTGTTTTCCCAATAGTGCAAGAGAATTCTGCGGACATCGCCGTGCATTTGGCCTGCAAAGAAAGCAAGAAACGAGCGTTGGGAAGGGGGTTTGCCTCCAAGTTCACGTAACGGGTTTTGAGGGGAGCGAACGTATGTTTCAGGGAGGGATACGTCTTTTCCTAATTCAAAACCTTCTTTTTTGACATCCGAATTGCATAGAGCCCTTATGCAACTATTCATAGATTTTTTTGTTTCGTCTGTCGCCTGAAATTATAAGATTGCCGTCGGTTATACATGCATTACTCGAAAAGCAAATTCTTAAGGATACCAAAGAGAAATGGCTTCAAAATGCACCAATAATATGCTCATTGGTTTGGGAATAGAACCCGAACAATTTGAGAGAATAACTTAACTAAAACAGGAATCACAAATATAGAATGAGCTAGATGTTCTAATAAACTGTTTATAAGACTTAAGTTTATAGCATCAAAGAATTGTGTTATATGTAAAGGTGTTGCAATAAGTTAACAGGACTATTTTGGGCAAATAACAAGTTTTTAGAACACTTTTGAATTAAAGTGTCCTATTAGTCCTTATGTAACTCTGTTTGAAATAATGTATTATCAAAATGAGGATCCCATATAAAAACGTGTTCATACACTTTATTTAAAAGTTTCCTATAAAAAGGTAATATAACACTTTTGTATCAAAAGTATCCTGCAAATTTGTTAGGATACCCAAATATGTCTTTTATCATTCTATTGTAACATTTTTACATAAGATGCACATTTATTTGGTTTTATAAACTTAAGAGTCTGTTTGTTAGCAGCTTAATAAGCTTAATGGGTATCACAGCTTATTCAGTCAGCCATACATGTCTGTTTCATAGTGGCTTGATAATATATAAAGCGACTCTTTCAATAAGCTTCTAAGGGAGCTTATGCAAAAAACCAAGTTCTTTCCAAACTTGTCACTCCCAACTAAAAAGCGCGCTCCTTCCATCTATGCAAAAAACCATTTGAAACAAAAACCTTCCCAATCTATAAAGACAGATTAAAATGCACAAACAACTTTATGGATAAAGTTGTTTGTGCAGGTTAATCAACCAAACATCAAGTCATGTAAGGAATTCATTAGGACATTTAGACTATTTGATGTCATATAATACCCATTTTAGTGCAGTGACTGCTGTAAATATGGGTTATGGGGAGGATCATATGGCTTACCCAGTCATGACAAGCAACAAGAAAATGATCTGACCCACCAGTTCTGTTCCAGGAATCGTATCTCTCCGCTATCAAGTGAATGTAGTCCTTCAAGTGCTGTACCAAGTTGTCACGACTGCCAGACCCGACCACGTATAACTTTTCTTCCAACATCCGAGAGCTAAAAGGAATATAAAATAGATGGGCTTGTTTGGGGTTATTGGTAACAAAATGTTTGTTTTCTTTCATATGCTTCATGAACCATCCTTCAGATGCATAAATTCCGCTAAGTACCACCTGTGGCTGGTGGAATATGGGTTTTGCGCCCTCCTTGTAAACGTAAACCTTGAGAGTCTTTTCCATCAATTCATAGCTCCTGCATTGCATAATACGATACAGTAACACAAAGTCTTCCTATACAGAATAGAAAATTAGACTTTATCCAATTTTTTGACAAAATGTCAAGTTTTGCTCACCTCTTAAACCTTGAAACATTACGATACAGAGGAGGATAAAGTGCATGGTCATTGTCATTGGCTGGAGCATTCTCAATCTGTAATTTTGCATCTAGTAATTCTTGATCAACCATTGAAGACCAAAGTGGTTTCTACAAGACAGAGTTGGTTTAATATTTGAGCAACAAAAACAAGCATACCCATAAATGTCATTAGGTACTCAGGACAGGGCAAAACAAAAACAGGTGTCCCACATTTGGCGTGACAATTAGACCGGGACAGGACAGGATTGAGTGGGACAAAAATGTAGTTCTTTTGTCCCATCAAAATAGATGGAATAAAAATTAGGAAGATGGCACAAGATAGGTATATTACTACACTATCCAAGTAAACCTTAAAACCTTCCCCAATTCTTTCACCCTCTTATCTCTCTCATGTCAGTCCGGTCCAGTACCAAACGCACGAACTCATTGTCACGAGAAGAATTGAGAACTAGCATACCATAGAACGAACTGAAGCACGATTATGAAGTAAAATGTCATGCATATCCGAGACTGTCACTACGTCCCCCATTGGCGTCTCATGATTTTCTTTCACCAGAGGAACTTCCTTCATAGATGAATCATTAGCTGGCAGATTAGGGTTCTTCAGTGATGTCACAGGCTCCTTGAAGTTGGGGGCTGAATTTGGTGAAACTATGTTTGGTTTGGATGTGCTGTTATCCAAAGCTGTTGAAGGAGCAATCGCTGTAGCATCAACTGTTGTTTTGGATGTTAAAGAATCCGGTGAACTTGCTGGTGATAATAGAAACGGAGTAATTGGACTTGCAGCACCTGTAACCTTTTCTTGTAAGGTTGAGCTGTTAACATTATTGGTAGACAAGTCCCCATTAAATTGTCTGACCTTCTCAGGTGCCAAACCTTCGATTTCTTCTATCTGATCTCCAGAGACACCATGACCATCATCTGTTCTTGTGAATTCATCTGTATCTCCATCCCTTTCTGATTCAAAATCATTTTCAATGCCTACATCATTACCCTTGTCTATAGCATTATCAACCATCTCATCAACAGGCCTTGTATAATTAGAGCCATCAAATCGGGTAATGTTACCTAATGGTTTTGGAATTTGAGGCGAAGCTTGAGGTGGGTAGCTTCCACTTACCGGTGGTTGAGCCCTGCCGGCAGAAAATAAGGACGATGCAACATCACCATATGGAAATTCAAAGTACTGGAACAATATAACCACAGCAAATACCACTGCCACTAGCCACACTAATCTCTTGCTTTCCAATATATACTGAATTTCATGACCCATTGCTGTTAAGCACTATCCTACCGGTACTCGGAGCACGCGTATCCTACCACCGCTACAAAATTGCCATTTGTTTTATCAGATTTGCTTGATCTCATAAGTAACTCATACTCAAACTTCTCAACAAGTGCATCAGATAAAACAATATTAATATGTGGACATGAAATACAAAATATGATAATAAAGCCAATAAAGAAGACCACTTTTAAACATTCATAGAAGAAGCTTAGGTTACAGAAACTGCTTAATGGAGAAAGATTGTTCATGTGTCTCAATATAACTAAACCTTAACTTAAACCAGAATATGTCATAACCCCGTTAGATTTCTTGACAAAAGTCCATAACCATCTATCGTTCTCAACGTCTCATAAAGATGGAGACATCCAAACAACAAATAAATAACTATTACTCCCTTCATTTTATAATAAAAGATCATCAATATCAAGTTTGAGTGTAAAATGGGTTACCTTTTTCTCTTATAATTGTAATATAATTGAGAAAAATATTGCCAGCTAAAATGATGTATATACAAAGTATTACATGCTAATTAAGATGCGGTTGGTGTTTAATATTGCATCAGAAAACATAATCTGTCATTTAAGAAGCAGTATGTATGAACCAAATCGTAGGTCTGATTTGGGACAAACTGAGTAAAAAAAAAAAAAACTAGGCATCAAACTGGTTGTGTTCAATTGCGTCGACCAGAAAACTTCAATTGCCTTTAGATTGAATAAACCAAAAATTCAAACCATCAATTGAATAGCCTAAACAGAGAATGAGCATGAACAACTTACTCGATTCTTACTAATCAACAGTATTCCGATCATTAGGCAACCAACCTCCAACTCGCCAAAGCAACATGCACACGCTATTCCAAACAAAAACAAAAAACCACGGGAAAAAGGTACTAGATCAGAATCCAAAACACAAAATTCAAATAAACGTAATCCGAAAACCTGCAAACGATGGAAATTTCCTCGATCAACAAATCAAAAGGATGAAGGAAAACTGATTATGTGATTCAATCAAACACAGGTACAGAAAATACAAAGTATAATTGCCTTCATATGTGCTCGTCTTGATCAAAGCGCTTTGAAACACAGAAATCGATAACGGAAATAAATGCATTGACGATTGAAAATTTGAATTAATTACCTGGGAGAGAAACGTGGTTGAAGAATTTGGAGGACGCTCGAGGTTTTATGCCAGATGTTGCAATGGCGGCACGGCAGAGGGCTTTGTATTACTTTTTTACTGTTAGCTTGATTGGAAAATGATGCATGATTCTTTTACGCACTCGACTCAAATGCTTCTATACTTCAACCATCTTCTAACCTTTTTGTTATATTTACAAGAAATTATAGATTTGGTCCTTATAGTATGTGGATTTTTACAAAATTAGTCTCTATACTTTGATTATTACAAAAATTACATGAAGGTATGCCGTTTTTAATGGTTTTGGTCAATGTACTAAACAATTGTCTATCATTCTGTTAAGGGTGTTTTGAATCTGTCTTTTTATCTTTTTTCCTAAAACACCAATCAGGTGAACCACCATGAGACCTCCATGTCTTCTTCGGCTTACCGCCGATCAAAACCTTCATGTCTTCTCTGGCGAACCTCATGCTTGTCTTCCCCGACGAACTGCCAGTGAACCCCTTCCCCGTTGTATCAACTCTCCCACCTAATATTATGAACAAACCTTGAAACCTAAATTAAAACCAAAAGATAACCCCAAATCTGAATCTGAGCTCTAGTTTTTTAGTTTCATTGTGGCAATGGTGGAGTCTGATACTGAACACGTAAATCTTATTGTGATTCTGGTTCATGAAACAGATGGGGAAATAAGTTGGTGGTGGTTGGTTGGTTCTTTGATGTTTTGGTTCTTGACGGAAGGTTTGTTTTGTCCCTGAGGTTAACAGACCCCTTTAACGGCCGTTTGGTCTAAGGACCAAAACAGTGAAAAATGAATACCTCCAAGTGTTTTATGTAATAAATAAAATCTAAGGCTCAATTCTATAAAAAACCTACATATATTAAGGAGCAAATTTGTAATATACTCTTTTATTTACTTTACCCCAAACCGTTTTACTTTCTAACCTATTTTCTGTAACTTTTAAAATTAAAAAAAAAAAAAAAAAGGCAAAAGTTAAATTTAAAAAAAAACATTACATTAAATTTTAATTTTTTAAAATTAATTATATTATTAAATTCATTTAATACCAACAAACTTTCTATAAAACGTTATTTTAAAAATAAAATTTACGAATTAATGATTATATTTTCTCTAGATTTTGGAGATTTATACAAATATTTAAAAGATTTGGGATCATGTAAGACCGGTTTGTTTTTGTGAAACTCGTTAGACCATTTTTTTACAATTAAAACTTCACAGCAAAATGTTGTGAAGGTTCAATTTTTTTTTTACCTTCACATCGTTTTACTGTAAAGTTTCAAGTGTTAAAAAAAATGTCTCGTGAATCTCACAAAAATAGGTTGATCTCACGTGAACCCAACTTTGTTTAAAATATTCCTTAATTCCTCATTTCTTATTTTGGATCATGATTTCATAGATTTATTCAAATTAACCTCTATACAAAAATCTCCTTAATTTGCATATTTTCCATTTTTGTTGAAAATTCTTTATGATGCAAACTTTGCTTTTTCTTTCCCATAAATAGGAAAGAAAGGAAATCCTCCGTCTAACAATATTCCATTTTTAAAGAGAAATTTTTAATTTTGATTTCGACATTATTGACAAATATCTTATAAAATTGTAAAATTCCTAAAATACCCTTTTAACGTTTAAAGCTCCTTTATATAATCCCATGTCTCCGAGAGTTTTAAATTCGAACACTAAACCCCCTTCATCGAAATTTCTCGCTTATTTTCTAATTGAAATCTCAATAACGCACGTGCAACAGGGTTGATAAGGTCTTTTATCAAAAAATTATGTCATTACTGTTAGTTGGTTTATAGGATCGATGATGAATGCATGCAGGTATTTTATAATGTCTGATAGCAGATTCATAGTAATTAGACATACTTAGTAAAGTTCAGTTATAGTCTTTAGTACATTCCTGACATATACTTGAAGCTCCAAATGCCCCAATAAGCTTTTGGAACTGGGGTTCAAAAGCCCATATTACTTCACATTTCTAAATTGGCAGTCAGTCAATTATGTAAAGAATTGTCTATTTAAGATCATACTTCATATTATTGACTCTAATCTCTTCAAATTGTTAAAATGTCAGTTAATTAGTCGTAAGAATATGACATCCTTGAAAATCCAACAATCGTCGCTCGCATCCCAACCACTATTGTAAGAAACAAATGCATCGACATTTGAACCTGTATGTAGGAAAATAACGTCAAAAAGTTTGAATTCAAAAGCAAAAACAAAGTTCACTGAGTTCTTATCGATCGAGCTCCATCAAACTACCACTACTGAATGACAATCGGATTGATTCTCCTTGATGCAAAACAAACTGCATTGAGCATTATCGATCACCTCTCAACTATCATCGTTAACCTAAGTAATTACCCATAATGTCCAGAACAATTTGGAGGTTTCGTTAAGAATTATGAATCTACTCGGTTTTGGATGGCTATTATCGTCAATATCGATGAAGCTTTTGAGAAGTAGATAGTAAAAGACAACACGGATAATTTCATTGATGACAAAGAAAAAGTGAACGTATACTTTCATTAATGTCAACATTGATCATATTTTTTTATATTGAAATATAATCAGTTATCAGAATTCCATAAAAAAATATTAATTTTAATGGATTTTAAACATAATATTTACAGTTTGGATCATATTTCTTAAAAATTCACTCGTGTTAAAATGTTTTATTTTATTTTTCATATTAAACAGATTAATTAATTACATATATAATAGGAAAAATATAGAAATTAATTAAAATGGTCGACTTCCCAAATGAAACCATGTGGCCCATTGTCATCCTCAGCCTTACAAACGTATACTTTGTGGCCCATTTCTTTGCTCCTCCGACTCCGTTGACTTTTTTTTTTAATTAATAGCCATATTATTTAAATAAAAAATTAATTAAAATATCAATTTTCATGTTTTTTATTCATTTTTTAGCCATTTTTCTCACGATATTTTAAAAATGTAATTATCTTTACAAGTAACAACTCCTCAATTCACGAAGGAATTAAAGTGTAAAAAAAATAAAGTTTATGAACTGGGGACGGAATCTGTAAATTAGTCTCAACCACTTGCAAACCTTTATCTTATTTACAGATTTGGTTCGTGCACTTGCGGATCATGTTCAAAAACTTTTTTTTTTATATTTTGACCCTTTCATTAATTGAGGAGGCGTCAAGTGTGGCGGTAATAATATTTTTGCAATTCAGGAAGAAAAATAGCTAAGAGATGAATCAAAAGCCTAAAAATGACTATTTCTATTAAGTGTACTATTTAAATTGATTTATATCTTAAGTCAAAAGTCCAAAAAGTTAAAAAAGCGATTATATGTTTTAGATAATTAACCGTTTACTTTTTTATTAATAAATTAATTTTTAAACTTATTGAAACGAATAAATAAATCATTTAAATTGCTAAATTCAAAATGGAAAGAATTTTTTCTTCCTATATAGTACAAAGAAACTGCTGCTGAAACAAACCAAAATAGTACAAATTTCTTGGCAAGTTCTCCAAGTCCAACTCTAATTTTGAATAAACCTATATGATCTGTTAGGGTTAGATTCATGTGAGATCAGCTTATTTCTGTGAGATCCATGAACCGTTTTTTTACACGTGAAACTTTACAGCAAAATGTTGTGAAGGTAAAAAAAAGTCGAACATTCACAATAAAAACACTGTGAAAATTACCTTCACAATTTTGCTGTAAAGTTTCAAGTGTAAAGAAGTGGTCTCACGAGTCTCATGAAAACAATCTGGTCTCACTTGATCTCAAGTTTAATCTGTTAAGGTCTAATATTTTATAACATTTGATGTTATTTATATTTATTGTATATAAAAAAAGTAGTGAGTTTAAATGTATAAACATAAATTAATTTTATTAGTCAACTAAAAGTTTGATTTAAAAGGTCAATAATGTACAAATTCCTTTTTCCTCAGAAAATCTTCCCCCTTTTATTACTGCATGCATTGAAAAAACTTCAGAGGTACAATTTATTTATTTTTATTATTATTAGAAAAGTATTTGTACAATGCAGCAAGATACATCTTGTTATAATATTTTATTTTATTATTTATCTCTGTTGATGATATAATAAGATTTTATGTGTTTTTAAGAAAACATTAATGATTTAATTTTTGAATAAAATATAAATTTGAAGATATCATAAAAATTTTAAAAAAATTATATCAATACTAATATCAAATCAACTATTTAAAAGTTCTCAATTTTATGTAATTTATTTTTTTATTATAATTTAATAACGAAATAATTTATTTTTGGTTTAATAATATAAACATTTTAATAGATAATAATTAAGTATTATATTAGAACTCAATGATTATCCTAATTATATTTTAGATTTTTTATATTTAAAATGATGTGTTTATCTTGTATTTGATTATGTTTATCTGCATTTAGTTACACGAGATATTGAACTTTAATAAGTTGTACTTACGCACAATCTACTTACAATATTCGGAAAACGAGCGTCATATTAAAGAAGACGGAGTCATAAAAATAATAGTCTCTTATCTAGTAAAAAGTTGTAAGAAATTAGGATCATAACTTATTTTTAGTCTTTTTGATTAACTTATTCGTTTTTCATCCTTATGGTATTGTTATTTTTAGTTTTTTTGATTTACAGTTTTTTACTGTTTTGATCCTTTATATTTAAAGATAAGAATTAGTCCATGAACGAAAATAACAATAAGTTTAAACTATAAGGACTAGAATCAAAATTATAACAAATCATACGGAAAAAATCATAGTTTGCTCAAACTGTTACTATTAATTAGAGTGAGACTTCTATGTCATAATCCGACAAAACTAGAAAGTAAACATTTATTTTAATATAAATAAAAACAAAAATATACACAATAATTTTATCAAAATTGATTTTTTATAGTCATAATTTATCGAGATTAGTCGGGACATAAAAAAATTTGTTGCATTTATAAATACAAAAACCGTTAAAATCTCTTTCTAGACAACACATTGATATTTGATATATCCAAATCATCACAATCCATATTAAAGTACAATGCTTTATGCATGAATTACAACTCTTTGGTACCATCATCCCTCTGCAATTAACCAAAACAACTCTGGAAAAAGCAAACACTGACGCCACCAAAACCACCGCGTTTCCCTTAATTTCCAAAGGCAACATTTCCAGGAAATACACATAGCGGAAGACAACCCTACTTCCATCATCTTCTTCATAAAACCTTCAGCAAATGTCATATTTAAACCCTCATCCGCCATTGTTGAATGCTTACTGCTTACTCCACACAACCTCAATATAAAACCACCATGAACCGTCTCCTCTACGAGTCTGTTCTAAAGGGTGATCTCATCACCTTCCTCAAACTCGTTCGAGAAAACGAAACCCTGATCACAGAGAGAGTGCTGGAGTCTTTGAACACTGTGTTACACTTAGCGGCTCGATTCGGGCACCTTGAATTGGCTTCGGAGATATTGAGATTGTGTCCGGAAATGGTTTTGGCGGAGAACGTGGACCTGGAGACGCCGTTGCATGAGGCTTGCAGAGAAGGTCAGGTGGAGATGATGAAGGTGTTAATAGCGGTGGATGAAGGGGTGGTCGGAAAAGTGAATTGCAGAGGTGAGAGTGTGTTTTTTGTGGCGTGTGAGAGAGGGAGGATGGAAGTGGTGAAGCATTTGATAGAGTTTCAATGGCTTCTGATGCATGAACTCGATGCTTTTGTTTGTTCTATCCATGTTGCTGCTGCTGCTGGACACACAGGTATTATTAGCTTCTATTTGTTACCAGTGTAACAAGCTTATGAGATTCAGAGTTTATTATATGATTTTTTGACAAAATAACTTGTTCAATAAGTTTTTAGAGGGAAGCTTTATACAAAAAGTTAAGTTGTTTTTTTTTTCTAAATCTGTCTCCTTCCTGTTAAAAAACCCTACCAAATAAAAACTTTTATAATAATACAGACATATTAATCGACACAAAAAACTTTTATCTTGAATGAATACATTCACTCTTTGACAATTTAGAAGTTTATAAAACTAATGGAACAAAATCAGAATAATGCATGATTAATGTAAAGGCTTAATTATTTGTTAAGAATTTATTGAGATTAATGAAATTCATAGTATATTTGATCAATTATAATTAATTGTTTCGTAGTGAATATAAAAAATAAATTACTCAATAAGTTTGTAAGAAAGAGCTTTATGTAAAAAGTTGAAACCCTTTTTAATTAAAAAAAAGGGTTATTTCATCTGTAAAAACTATTTCAAACAAGAACTTTTCCAAACTATATAGATAGCTAGATTAATCCATATAGACATATTATTCATACGTGATTTAATGAAATACAATCAAACAATCGCTAAACCTCCATAATTAAAACATATCTTATATTTGTAAGTTTATATANTATCAATTAATGTATAAATTAAAAAAATTTAAATTTAAATTAATATATAAATTTAAAAAACAATATATCAATTTTTTAAAAAGATATTTATGAAAATAGGTAAAAAAAAGACTAAATAATCCCTCACTCTAACCGAGATTATTAATAGGATTAGTGATCAGGGACCACTTTTAGAGCAAAATGAAAATAACAAGAACGATTTCCATACATATCAAAGTTCATATCCCACTTTTAAAGATTTCACTAAAGCTCAAGGACCAAAATTAGAGTTTACTCTATAAATATCTAATGCAATTAAATATTAGAATATTAACAATATAATATAACCACAAACTGAATTAGTCAAATAAGTAATTAGTAGGGGTGACAACTTTGTATCAAACCAAAACGATCAACAAATGTATCAATCGTACCAATTAAATAGATACCGATTTAATCTGTATCAATTATACTTGGGTGGTAGTACCATACCGTACCAATTTATGAAACCTTGGTTGGTAATGGTATGGGAAGTCCCATATCAAGGTAGTACCATGATCCCAACTTATTTATTGATTTATTAGTTTTTTATTTTTAATATATTGAATATTAAATATCATAACTTTATATGTTGTTTTTGAGCATTTGAATGTTAGTATGTTTTTATTCACTACAATTAAAAACCCTTAAATATAACATGTGTTACCTGTAAATTCAAAATGTCAATAAAAATTTGAATAAAATTGTAAGTTTATATATATATATATATATATATATATATATATATATATATATATATATATACACTAGAAGGATTTTTATTTTTTATCTCTGTTAATATTATAACACGGTTTTATATAGTTTTGATAAAGCGGTAATAATGTTTTTATGTTTGAATAAAATATAAATTCTAATATCTCATAAAAATTTGAAAAAATATATCGATATTAGTATCAAATTAACTATTTAAAAGTTCACGTTTTTTGTATAGTTTCTTTAATTTAATTTTTTTATTATAATTTAATTTAGATTTAATAACAAAGTAATCTATTTTCGTTTTAATATACAATCTTTTACAACTATAATAATTAAGTGTTATGTTAGAACTCACTAATTGTCCTAATTATATTTTAGATTTTTTATATTCAAAATGAGATGTTTCTCATGTATTTAATTATATTTATCTCTTGTTAGTTACACGAATTTAAAATGAAGTTTCAATAAGTTGTACTTATAGATAATTTACTTGTAATCTTGAATTTTAAGTAATGTGCATCAATAAACAATATTTGATCCATAAAAAATGGTTGTTAAGAGTTTTTTATAAAATGTTTTATAATATAGTATAAATATATTCAAGTTCATATGAGAACAACATAACAAAATAAAAAAACAAAAAAACAATCAAATCACAACTGATTTTACACTAAAATCGCATAAAATCATATGTAATCCACACGACTTTGAGCTTGTTCTAATTTAATTCTCTCTCCCTATATATATATATATGTGTGTGTGTGTGTGTGTGTGTGTGTGTGGACTTGAGATCATGTGAGACCAGCTTGTTTTCGTGAGACCCATGAGACCACATTTTTACACTTGAAACTTCACAGCCAAATGCTGTGAAAGTGATTTTTTTAACCTTCACAGTATTTTTGTTGTGAATGTTCGACTTTTTTTAACCTTCACAGTGTTTTTGCTGTGAAGTTTCAAGTGTAAAAATGTGGTCTCACGGGTCTCACAAAAACAAGCTGGTCTCACGTGAACCCAACCCTATGTGGACTTGGGATCATGCAAGACCAATGGTTTTTCGTGAGACCCGTAAGACCAATTCTTAACCCTTGGATTAAATCTACAATATGAAAATCTAAACATTCATAAATGCCACGAGACTTCTCAATAATCACAAAATTGCCACTGTGCAATTTAGATCATTAGATCATTAACTTATAAAGTTGATCAATGAACATAAATTGGTCTTACGGGTCTCACGAAAAACTCTTGGTCTCACGTGAATCTAATCCTATTGTGGAATGTTTAAATCATAATTATTAATAATTCTAAACATATATAGGTATAAGTCGTGATATGGCAATTATTGGCGCATGGGTACGAGTCGACGACTTATTCCATTCACACGCTATTAAGCTTTAATTTCCTGCTTGCTTTTTTTTTTTTTAATGAGATATTTTGTCTTAATCGATTAATCACCACTATCACATAAAAACCAAAAACATGACCTTATGCGTTTACTTAGACTTATGAAGTCCCCTATTTGTCGTCTATTAAGACTTTAATAATATAATATTTATTGAAATAATAATCTAACCTATCATACAAGAATGCATTTTATTATAAGAATTTAAATTATCTCTACAAGATGCATGTCGTTTATGGTGTACAAGAATAAATCAGTTAAATATAATTAAAAAAATGTCGTATAAACACAAATGTCTTATAAAAGTATGTGTTAATATATATATAAATATATATATATATATATATATATGACACTTTTCAAAAATGTTTTATAAAATAATTGATACGATATTTCATTTTCAAGTAATGTTGTAAAAAACTTCTTAAAATGCTCGAAAAACGTCTTATAAACTTATTTCAATATTTTTAGATCTGATTTGGTCTATTTGTAGAAATAGTGAAGGAAATAATCAAGGTGAGGCAAGAGTTTGCAAGAAAAGCTACTTCACAAGGATACTCCCCTTTGCATTTGGCTTGTAGCAAAGGCCAAATAGATACAATAAGGGAGCTTCTAGATTTGGATCAAGACCTATCTTGCCTCCAAGATCACAATGGTTGGACACCTCTACATTGGGCATCCATGAAAGGGAGAGTCGGAATCATCGGTGAGATAACCTCCTCGAGCCGTGAATCGGTTGATATTGTCACCAGCCATGGCGAAACCGTTCTTCATTTGGCAGTTAAGTACAACCAGTTTGACGCTTTAAGGTACTTAATGGAAACCCTCAATGTCACTGAGCTCATCAACGTTCAAGACAATGATGGAAACACCGTGTTACACTTAGCAACAGTCGCAAAACTCACTACGGTAATTATCTACCTCTTTTTAAATTATTACCACACATGTCGGACGACTTTATGAGCCTTTAAATCTTGAATCTGCCGCTGTGTTAATCCTTCCCTTTTTATAGTTATTGAGTTGTATCTGATATTTACTTACACAGGTGGTGACATATCTACTTAAACGTGGAGTGGATGTAAATGCGATCAATCGTAAAGGCCATACAGCTCTCGATGTTGTCGAATCCGATGGCAGCAACTCCGCTGCTCTCCAAATCGTTCCAGCCCTCTTAGAACATGGAGCAAAAACATGCCACCAATTGCCTCGAACCTCTCGAGATATCCAAGAACACCATTTTATGATCACACGTTCAAGAAAACAACACAATAACATCGACTCTCCAACTCAACACTACCGTCGTTACAAAAGGAAACGGTCGAAACAAATCGAACTTCAAAACGAAGGCCTCCGAAACGCTAGAAACACCATAACAGTCGTCGCAGTTCTAATAGCAACCGTCACGTTCTCAGCCGGATTAAACCCTCCCGGAGGATTTCATCAAGATTCCGGCAAGGCAACAATGGGAACAAAATCTCCGTTTAAGGTGTTTCTTGTCTGCAACATTATGGCATTGTTCTTATCTTTAGGAATCGTTAATGTTCTTGTGAGTGTGATTCCCTTTCGAAGGAAATCGATGATGAGAGTGTTGGTAGCTACACATAAAATCATGTGGGTGTCGACCATGTTCATGGCGTCGGCCTTTATTGCCGGAATTTGGACCATTTTGCCGGAAGGTTCAGGATCACGGTGGGTGACGATTGAATTGATGGTGATTGGGGTTGGATGCATGCTGGTGGTGCTTTCAGGGTTAAGCGTTTTGTTGGTGAAACAGTGGTCGAGAAAACAAGAATGGCGGAGAAGAAACGAGAAGAAGAAGATGAAGGCTGGATCGCCGAATGGTAGCGTCAATAGTCGCGTTGATGAACTGCATTTTGTTAAGAATTATAGTCGTGAATCTTCTAGTAACTCGGATATTGATAGTTCTGATCATGGTTATCATGTTTACTGATCCACCATTTTTATCGTTTACTTAATATCTTGATATTTTGTACGAGTTCGTAGTAGTTATTTCTGTAATTGTTGTATATAAATAGCAGTTATGCAAAATCTACTGTTTCTATATTGATTTTATGTTATTCACGTGAAAACACATCATATAAAATGGAAACATAGCCGATGGTAGGGGTGTTCACGGGTTGGGTTGATCGGGTTGAAGACATTTGAACAACCTAACCTAATGTTTGCGGTTTGAAAAATCTTAACTCAATCCAACCCGAACCAAAGTGCAACCCAACCCGTACGGGTTGGTCGGGTTGATACTTTGGTACATTAAAATATTCTTCTAATCTAGAATATGTTTATTTCTCTACTCATAGTTTCTTTTTCATCACCTATCATTTGGTACAACTTATCCATACTTTTTACGTATATCACATTCAGTTAATTTTCTCAATTACATATATATGAAGAGCATACATGATAGTGTAATTATCTAATGTATATATTAATACAAATTCAACAATCATATTAAATCCAAGAAATAAAAGGATATCGAGTTCATCGGGTTGGGTTGGGTTCAAATAATAGTAACCCAATATCAACCCAATACCTGCGGTTTGACAATTTTACAACTCGATTAGATATCGGGTTGCTTCGTGTTGAGTTATTTCGTGTTGGATTGAGTTGGGTTGATCAGGTTGGTCGGATTTTTGAGCACTCCTAGCCGGTGGTCATGTGGTTTGCTCAAAATTTTAGATTTAAGAGTCGTTTACCAAACACTTATACGTCAAGTGTTTAACGGTAAAATTTAACACTATTATTTACTTACCGGGTAAGATTTTAGTCCACCAAAACGATATCGTATGCAATAATTTCCCTAGCAAGCATTTACCGTGGTAAGAGTTGTCGCTCTCATTTACCGGATAAGACTCATTGTCCTTGTATCGTTCTTACCGGGTAAGATTTTTTGTCCTTATCTTATTCATCCAGGTAAGGTAATGTAACTTAGTAAGCGTTTGGTTAATGGCCCCTTAGTCTCTAAGACGAACTATTTATACCGATAGTCTTTAACTTTTTAATTTTAATAAGATTAAAGGTTCCTGAAATTAATACCGTCAATCAACAATTGTTAGTAGAGATAAATCAATATTTGAGCAAGCTATAGGGACCAAAAGCGAAAATTCACTATAAAAATAATTATGGTTCACATCAAATTTCTTTATTAAAAATATTTTAAAGTATAGTTAATTGAAAATAAAAATAGAGGTGTTAAAAAAACCGTTGGATCGCTTAAACCGGTTGAACTAAGTTAAATCAAATTACTTTTGGTGGTTTGAGCAATTTGACGGTCCAGTTTTAAAAATAGTCAAACCGTTTGGTTCAGTCTGACTTGCGGTATAAGTGTTTTTATGAGCGGTCTGAATCGAACCGACCATCAAACATATGCATGTATTAATTATATTTAGTTTTCGTGTTGTAAACTGGCCAATTAAAAAAATCATCCAAGACATTGTATTTTTAGTTTCATTTCACAATTGATTGCGTTATATAAACTGACAAAATTTTGAAATTCATCAAAAACGTCTTTTCACTTGTTCATGAATACAGAAATATCATACAAAAGGTCTTTGGCCTAGCGGTATATGACCCATTGGCCTCTTAGAAGGTCAAAGGTTCAAACCTCACCAAATATAAGAAGAGAAAGGTGTATTAGTTTATTTGTTCTATTTATTCATATATAAATATTATATAATTTAAAAAAAATTATAGAAATATCGTCCATAAATATATAAGCAAAGATGACGTGGCAAATTTGTAATTAAATTAGAGGTGTTATTCACAATAACTATATACTATTTATTTTAGTTATTATTTCATTTTCCATTTTCATATTTTTTTTTTCACAAGAAGCAAATTAGAGACATTTATCACGTTTGTGTTTCTAATCACACGGTATAAATTGAGCACGTAAAATGAAATATCGAACGATAAAACCCAATCAGGCCGCTACGAGCTTCGGGCATCGTCAAGTTCTCGATTCGAAGGAATTTCGCTCCCGGTTTGTGAACCATTGAATGGTCCGTTTCGCCATCGGCAACCATACGCTCTGTAACCGCTCGTCTTTCTGACTACTCGTCCAATATGAACTTCTACTTTCTCTAAATCTCGACACGTTTGTAATCTCTGACATCGATCTTTTCTCCATGCCTTCGGACTCCTCGTCTTTCGTGAGCCTCGGAAATTGCGAATTCGAAATCGACGTTTCGCCGCTATCCGCGGTTTTACCGACCTTCAAGTCGTACAACCTTCGTCTTCCCATATCCTCCTTAAACTTTGTTACCTGTTCAATATCTATTTCGATTCTCCCACTGCTCGAAGGCGAAAAACGCTTGCTCGACACCTCGTTAAGCATCTTCGAGTTCAACAACATTAAGTCGGAGGAATTCACATCGCTCCATCGGCTCTTGCCAACAATATCGGATACAATTATCCTATGTTTGAACTTATCCAATAATCTTCGATCGCCGTATTGAATCAAGACGTCTTCTTTCGGACTCTTCATGAATTTCCTAAAACTATTTCCGATACTAAACCTCGAGGATCTAGAAGACCCGTCGTGCTCCCTTCTAACGAAGATTTCAAGATTATTCAAACCGTCGTCTTGAGGATACCGCAAACTATTCGTGCAAACGATATTCGTGACATCCGACACATCGAATTTATACCGACAAAGAGGGCAACTCGAGTGACTTTCGAGCCATTTATCGATACAATTCATATGAAATGCGTGCCTACACCTAGGCAACAACCTTAAAACCTCGGAATCTTCGAATTTCGACAAGCACACGACACATTCTAGCCCTTCTTTCGATCCTTTAAGAGATGAGAATCGGAAAAAGGGTAAAGATTCGATTGTTTTCTTGTCGATTCCAGAAAACCGTGATCTCGAGCTAAGAATCCCGTGAGCGGGTTGGAGAGTAGTTTCATCCGAGTTGCAGAATTTCAAACACGCGAGTATGAGAAAGGTTAAAGAAAACACAGCGCATAGGATGCCGATGATGATAACAACGCTGGAATGCACAGGATGCACGATATCGGGAGCAGAATGGGTTGAATTTGGTTGCGCAAAAGCATCGAAAACGAACAAGATGAAGAAGACGACGATGAAAAAGGGGGTTTTGATCGATTTTATGTGATTCATCCAATGGATTTGGAGTTTTTGAGTGTGGTGTTTGTCAAGTTTTGCAAATGGTGTTGGTGAGTTCCTTAATTATATCAATTGAATTCAAAATGTTGTATTATTGGTCTCTTTCAAGAAATTATAATTAAATGGAATTATATACAAATTAAGAGAGAAGGGGCATATTAGTCAATTAAAAATCATAAAAACGTTCAGAATTAATCTTGTTTCATATTATATTATGTACAAATATATTCATAATCACAAAATTGCCACGAGATTTCTCAATAATCATAAAATTGTCATCGTACAACTTTAAACCATTAGATCATTAGCTTATAAAGTTGATCAATAGACATAAATTGATCTTACAAAAAACTATTGGTTTCACATGGCCCCAACTCTCTCTATATATATATCATATCCTTAGAATGTCGATCGATAAGGTTGCCCTTTTTCTGTGTATATATAAACATATATGTAGTTGTATGTATGGTTGATGTGTGAGTGGCTTCTTATCGTTTGTTTTATTATTTGGCCGCCTTTATTTGTCTCACTTTGCTCGTCTTTTATATCACCAATCGCATCCATAAAATGTATTTTTATCGTTTTCAACAAATGGAAGACGTTTTAAATGCCAATAATTGAATTCCGTATTTTATAATTTTCATTTTTGGTCATAATATTATTATTATAATATATATATATATATATATATATATATATATATATATATATATATATATATATATATATATATATATATATATATATATATATATAGGGTTGGGTTCACGTAAGACCAAAGGTTTTTCGTGAGACCCGTAAGACCAATTTATATTCATTGATCAACTTTATAAGCTAATGATCTAATGGTCTAAAGTTGCACGGTGGCAATTTTGTAATTATTAAGAAGTCTCGTGGCGTTTATGAATGTTCAGATCTGACGATTATAGATCTAATCCAAAGGTTGAGAATTGGTCTTACGGGTCTCACGAAAAACCATTGGTCTTACATGATCCCAAGTCTATATATATATATATAATTTTCGTATCTAATTACTTGATTTAGTAAGAAACAAAGTATATAAAGATTTACGACCAAATCAAACCTAACGATTTCATGATACATTCCGTCACAAATCAAAAACATGATTTACGTTAAAACGGTGTTGAACATTTTCCTTTATCAATTCGAAGTTTCTAAATCAATCATGACAACGAAAGGTTCGTATACGTATGAATCATGATGGTCCCGAAAATAATTAAAATATTCGATTTATAGAAACACATCAACTAAAGATATCAATTCAGTTTTGGCATCTAAGTTGAATATAATTAAATGTTTTATTAAAGGAATAATTACAAAAAGTGATCCATTTGATTTGAAACCTACCACAAAATGACTCAAGTTTTCGAAAATTACACAAAATGACCCAAATTTCGGAATTCGGTTTCATTTCCACCAAAACCAGGGAAGATTCAGAGACGAAACCACAAAGTTGATCCAAAACGCTACATAAAACTCAGACCAATCCTCGTAACTATAAACGTAAAAGAGTTGTACAATAGCCAAAGCATTCTCATGGTTTGAACCGGATAATGCTTCCTACTCGATCGGATTGTTTCGATTCATCTACTCTTTGTAAAACAAAACCATCAAGATCATGGGATTTCCACATGATCATCTATCCAGCAGGGCAAAAGCCAAGAAACGGTGTCATTTGACTTCATAATTTTGAGATTCAGTAATATTATGCTCGTAATCGATATGGTCAACCAGCTTTTGATGGGTCGTTCCCAGCTTTCAACTTCAGGCTGCTTCTAAGGAGATCAGACAGCTCGGCTGCAGCAGCACGTCCCAGCTTCAGACAGCTGAAGTAATCATCCACTGTGCAAAACACGAGTAAACATATGTTTCAGCGACATAAATCTTTTTTTTCCATCCTGTAAAACAAAGGATGAATAGACCAACAACCAAAGATTGCTTCTTTTTGTAAGGAGATCAAAGGTTTTTGACTTGCAAGCCACATAAACAATCAAAACCAAATGAACCCAGTATATTCCACTCGAAAATAGAGTCAGCGCTTGAGATGTACACAAACCTGCTCTCAACCCCTAAAAGTAGAACCATTGTTTCCCTGAATTAAGCTACATTTGCTTGCCAAATGAGAGGAAAAAGCTATATACAAAGATTTGCCACTTCAACTCTAACACGCCCCCTCCAAAGGATTAACCCAGTGTCAAGAGGGGGCTAGACGAGAACAGCTTGCCCTAGAGTGTCGAGTCCCTTAAGATTGTTAGACCTTGGCTTTGATACCATATGTAATTATGTGGAACCCTATTAGATTACTCTCCGTGAGAAGAGGGTTCCAAGGTGCTTCTTGTACCACCAAATTTGTAACTTGTTTGCCCCAATAAGACATTACACAGATTATGGCATTACACGTATCTTGTTCGCAGTACTAAATTTGTATCTTGTTTGTGTCGCATCACTCGTATTTGACAAGACTAACACATCTGAGTATATATTTCCACGGAAACAATAATAAAGAGGCAAGATTGAATGGTACCTGCCATCATGCCGTGCGTGACGGATGTAATAATCCCATGTTCCATTAGCTCACCTCCCAGTCTTAATGATCCTTGCGGAAGCACAGAAACCATCGAGTTTGGGAAAACCAAATACACAAATGCCTTTACTTTCTGCAATTGAAGGTCAAAAGCTAATAAAAAGTTATTTTGCATCAAAAATATCAGTGCCTAAAGTGAAGTTCACTGCAAATAAAGAGAAAAGATTGATGAACTATCCCAAATAATGGAAAAGAAAAGAATCACGTAACTGCAGCCATGATCAGGAAAGAAAAAGAATTTTTATAGATGTATAACATAAATGACACTAACCTGTTCTTCTATTTTGCTGGGGTCGAGTAAAATATGTCCACCTTCAGCCATACAACAACATATTGCAACTACAAAACCAGTAAAAGAGTCAGGAAATCGAAAATATGCAGTAAACAGAATTACGGAACTTAGGCATAAATTTATCTTACCAGCAAGATGCTTTAAAGGAATCCCGGCATCTACAAGAGCAGCACAGGCTGCATTTATTGCACAGGGAAGAAGCTAAAAAATCGTCAAGAAACATCACAAACGGTTCAATTTAACAGAACAGAGCCAATGCACCAAGGGATCTTTGGTTTTGCAAGGGTTAGGAAAGAAGTCCTTGTATGCAGCCTTTCGCTCGACCTTTTGTAAAGATGTTGTTTCTGTGACTCAAATCAGTGATCTTGCAAAAACATAGTTGAATCGATAACAATAAAAAACAAAGAAAAATAAAAAAACTTCAACACAATCGTCTGTAAATCATGTTTCTATGATGCATAACAAAAGTTTACTAGCATAAGCAGTAAGGAATTACGGTAATGAAGTGTGGCGTACAACTATGAAGGATACAGCACCATCATCATTGACAACCTGCAATGAGAGGATAACAGCCATGGCGATCATCATTCACCCGTCCCAAAATCAAAAAGCTACCAAGCATAAACTTTAAGATAATAGTAATGAAAAACCATCTAAATGTAAAGAAGCCAACAGCATTAGATAAGATAGATAAGCACTTGCGCCTTATAAGTTGCAAGATCCATGAATATTTTATTTAACATAAAAGTTGCACAGGTTCATAACTATAACATACATACACAAGCAAAAAAACCCCAAATCCTTTTTATCTGGCATTAACTTGGAACAGCGTGCATCTAAAGCACCTTTACTAAGATCACCGGATCCACATCCAAACACACTCACAGAACAATATGGATTACATGCATATGTCTATGTATGTCCATGTAGCAATAGAAACTACAAAGGCAATGACCAGGCATTTTAAGTACCTCATATATATAAGTGGCAACCAAAAGCCACAAGCAAGTGTTGGAACAACATAGAGAGATAAACAAGATTTCATGTAAACCCAAATTGATAAAATTCAAATTTCATCTAATATTCCAGGTTGCTTCAAGATGTGTAAGCATAGCAAGTAAATGGGAAAGCAACATTGGCAATACAATAACCCTAAGGACACGTTTGGTTTGATGGAATGGTTTTGAGGGATTTGGATTTGGATTTGGAAGGATTTGGAATCTTTGGTATGTTTGGTTTATAGGATTTGGAATGGAAAAATAAATTATAAATAATTACAAAAATAAATAAATTACATTTTTATTAATCGATTAACAAAACAAATGTTTTTAACACTTTTAAAACATAATTACATACAATCCTACGAAATGCCGTGAAATACCAAGCACCCCCGAAGGATTTCAAAATCCTATGTTTGTGGGATTTCAAATCCAGAAAATCCTTCCAACCAAACATGAGATTGAAATGGAATTCAATTCCAAATCCCTTCAAATCCAATCCAATCCCGCAGCCAAAACGGGACGTAAGAGTTATGAATCAACACCCCTAAATTTTGACAACCCGTTGCTTGTTTTATGCATGTTGACAAACATACCTGAATTACAATTGATGTTGTGGTATTAGGATGAACATTCAAAAGGCAGATGCTCTGCAATGTCTTCTTCAGTACCATCTCATACTCCCTCTCCGGTTTCCCTAATCATCAAAGGAGACCCAAATAACGCATAGCATGGTCATAAATGCACTTTAGAATTCCATCATAACCAGCAGGTATGCGACAAATAGCATGCATAGGTGCAAACTTGAAACAGTATTAAATTACAGAACAAGAATTACGGCTAAAAGAAATCCAAATTTCTACGGTGAATTGCAGATGTCAACAAACAGTGCCTTACAAAAAGAAAGATGATGACTGGAGCTTTCAACAAGTTATTTATATTAGTATTTAACAATCAATCACAAACAATAGTAGATACAACTTTGAAAAACAACTCACAATAGTAGTAGTAAGTTTTTTATTTGGGAACTAAGACCGCAAAATAAATGAGAAAAACATCAATAAACATTGCAGATACAACTTTAAAAACAACTCACCACTCTGCCCGGTTTTTGGCTTCCAAATGACTTCAATACATGCTTTTTCTGGGTTCTCATTTTTCCTAGTTCCAGCTTTCGGTCCATAAACAGCAGCAATCACCTTTGTGTCACCTAATACCAGATAAGAAACATCATTTGACACTATCAAAAGGAATTCAAGGAAAGAAGAAAAAAACAACCAGGAACCTAAGACTTTCCGGCCAACACTCAATCTTGGTAATCTAGTCCAGTGCTGTGAAGGCGACAATGTCTTATGATAAGGGAATCTCCACAGAGATGGATACGGAAAACCCCTGAGCAAATGAGTGTATGTCACTTGATTTGACAGCAGAGCCGTTATTCCCGGCTGGCATAGAAGTCTCTCGTGTGGGCAAAGGAGATGAGACAACTTTTTTAAGAGTGGCAAATGAGCCCATTACAAGTGTTTACAATAAGGTCTCTTGAATTAGTCATATAAATGAATAACTCCAAATCAAGAAACTTAATTGCACTTCCTTTCTTGAAATAATTCATGAAAAATTTACCTACTTGTTCAGGGTAATTATGTACATTATTGATGATATTTATTTCGGTCCCATAAGATTCTCCTATTTTATCATCATTGAAACATATTCTAACGCATTTGATTAAAATTAAAATGTTTCTACCAAACTCTGTGTAGAGTCAGTCATCACACTTCTCATGGGATGAAGAAAGCATTAAAATGTCGTCCAACTAATGTGAGAACAAATTTTGCCAGAAGTTCTCCACCGTAGTTGAGATGCCACAATCACAACAGATTTCTGATTCAGAAATATTCAGATCAAGAATTTTCAAGATTGTATTATCTTTCTACTTCCGTCCAAATAAATTGCTAGCATGAAGACCCAGAAAGAGCATAGCTCATCCTTTTTATCAAAAAACCTCGCTGCAATACTGCACTATATGGTGCAAACATTAAATTACTATATACAGTTAGCGTCATAAGTAAGTTCCTTATACTCTAGCCAAAAAAAAGATATTCGAAAGCACTTAACCAAATCTTACTCGAGGAAGTTTGTCTTCAGATTTTAATGAAGCAATAGGCTATAAAAGCATAGATAAATCTATGATCTTAGTAGAAATTCTGTATGCTACAGGCAAGAGAGCCATCGTATGACATTCTAAGCTAGAGAGACATACGACCTAGTCTGAAAGGGTAATTGAGCACATTGTTCCAACGAGCACGATCTACACTGATGCCTAACTACTGCAGAAATACATAATTATAACAGCATTCCAACTTCGGCCAAACGACCAAAATTTCCAAGACAGCCAGCTTTAGTATTTCACAAGACCTTCCATTTCACCAGAGTAGCACCCTCAACATATCATAGAAAGATATCAAGTATTATACTCATAAAAAAAGCTTCAATCACCAAGAGCTAAGAGTATAATAACACTAAATTGAAGCATGTAGCATTCAATTTTCTTGGAGGGTCATAGTTTTTACTCATTGCTAGCAAGTTCTTACCATAAAACCAATTAAAATGGCAATACCAGAAACAATATTTATCTTCTCTCAGGAGGAACATAAAAATGTAAATAGAATAAACACAGAAATATTTCATAGACAACCTCCTTCAATTATATCACCAACATCACTAATTATAGTATTTTGGCGAAGGCCAATGTAGTTAGACTCATTTCTGAAGAGAGTCAAAAAATGGGTATCGATTTGAATTTGAGAAGCAACCCATCTGACATACAAAAATCTTAAGTGTACCTCTTCTATATTTGAAACGAAAGGGAGTGTCTCCTTCCGCTATAGAAGAATGGAAAAAAAAAAAAAAAAAAAAAAAACTAAAAATTGTTGCAGAATAAGAATCCGATTTGGGGTAAAACCCCAATATTTGGATCGAATCAACCCTAAAAACATATACTCAGAATCTTAGTGAACTTTGGAAAGTAAAACAAAATTGCAGAACTTAAGGAGAAATAAGAGAGAGTAGAAGTAGGACCTTGAGCCCAGCTAGCGGAGCCATGAGCACGGTGGAGTATGCCTCGAGTACAAGCCACCGGTCTTCGTTGATTAGGGGTCCGCCCATCCGCTCTATCAACTGCCATAATCGCCCTTGAATTGCCAAACAAGAATGTAAATTTCCAGTTGGGTAACAATGGGATGATTGTTAACTTTAGGGTTTAGGGTTTATGCTTACCAGATATCTTCAAGGGATTTTCAGCTAAATGAAATACATAGTTTCAGTAACCAGTCTTGTATTATTTTTATATTATTTTATAAATAATTAGAATAGCGTACTTTTAAATTATTTTTTATATGTCGGTCTATTTTAAAAAATCTATCATTTATAATAATGAGTAATTTGTTATTTTTTAAACCGGTTAACTCCTTAATTTTTTATTGCTTGTGTAGCTTTAATGAGGTAATATGAATGACATATAATTTTGATAACTTAATTAAAATAAAAATAAAAACCTATTTCAAATTACTATTAATGATTTTCATTTTTTATTGTTATGATTTAAAAAAATATTTAATTTTTTTGATTTTTTGTTATTAAGTTGCATACAAATTAAATATTCTAAAATAAAATATTTCTTAAATAAATATGCTACATTATTTTTTAGATATATTTTGTTTGTAAAAAAGGTAACATTTCTTATTTTATGTTGTTCAAAAAAATACATATCTTTTAAAGTTTTCTCTAAAATATTAACAAAAAATTGTGTTCTACAATTTTTTTAATATTGTTAAATTAATAAATAATTCAAAAAAATCTAATTAATTTAATATATTTATACGTCAAGTAAAAGTTTTTAAACAAATATAATATATTCGTTAAAGATAATATTTTGTTGGTAAAAAATGAACAATTCTTATTTTTCTTTTTAAAAAAAAAAACACATTTTTTTTAAATATTAGCGAGATAAGTTGTCTTCTACTAGTTTTATTAATATTGGTATGTTAATGTATAATTTAGAATTTTTTTAAATTCATTTAATATTTTTGTTAAATAACATGTAAAATATCTAAATATTAAAATTAAAAGTAAATTGTTTAATAAGAACTAGTAGATATTATAATAAAATAATTTTGAAAGTATAATGTTCTAATAAGAAAGTCACATCACTATAGTACATGTGGACAGCCTACTTGGACAATAAGGTGGCATAGAAACCTGTTATAATTGGTAAATTTAAATCAAAAGGTTACTTAATGCAATAATGAGTAAATTTTTCAAAGTGAAGCTTTATAATAAAAATTAGTTTGAAAGTACATTGCTGCAATAAGAAAAACTGGAAGTATAATGCTATAATATAAAATTTTATGAAAATAGATTGTTATTTTGTGTATTTTGTCCAATACATTTATTATAGAGTTTCACAAAAGATAGTTATAAACAGATGATAAAACAAAGAAATGTAAACCAAATTGAATAAAACAAACCATCCACATGCATAGAAAAGTATTGAATCCATAAACAATGAGTTGAAGTGCATAGCTTGTTCAGTAACTTAAATTGAGATATCCAAACCATCGTATTTCTCTTTTGTGATTTTATCCAACATCTGGATCATTTCAGTAGTAAGATGATTAATAGAATCTCCAACTGTACCCTTTATGAAATAGACTTCATCAGATATAATATCAGATGTCTCATCTATGTCCTTATTTGCCTTGTTAACCTCCATTAATTTATCAAAACTACATAGTTTTATTATCTCTTCCACTTCTCCTGTAGCGTCCTCTTCTTCTGTAAAAGGATAATCTATGAACTTGCCAAATTCTTAACCTCGATATTTGCATGCTTATGCATTTCCTCGTAGTTCAAGAACAAAACCATATCTGGTCGTTCAAGGCTTGCTTTACGGTACCCAATCACATGATCCCAAAAAGGTCCATTTGGGGTAATGCCACTACTAAACATCTCAAATGCATCCTTCAGTTTTATTGAAGCAGATGCATTATCTTTCAACTTGTTCATGAAGTGCCAGAAGGAAACAAACACATCTTTAGGGTTTCTACATATATAAACAATCCGACAACCAGAATTGACGATGGACTCGGGCAATGAATTGTAAGGAATATGGGTCGCCATGAGGCCATTGGCATGAGAAGGGTTGTTCAAGAAAGACTCGGTCTCGATGAAAGGGACACAATCACGAGGGCTGATAGTGAGTAATGGATGTGTTGAACTATAAGCAAAACCGTTTTTGAACTTGGTTCGGTTCATAATGGCAAACACAAGAGCCTTAAGCCATGTTGTGCCAAATTTTGGATGACTGGCCAAGAAAACATCTGTTGGTTTAGCTTTCAAATCGTCTTGTGTGGCCATAATTGCTTCAACTAAGAAGCTAGCATTCGAATGATACCAAAAGCCTTGGTGGTACCAGAAACCTTGGTACTTATACACGTGAATATTCATCCAACTTTCCTGCATCGGAAGAGTTGACACTTTCTCCTTATACCGCTCGATGATCTCTGACATTTTTTCTTTTCTTGATTTTTCTTCATCTTTTGTGACATTCGCTACAGGTGAATAAAAGACAATAGGGGAGAACATTATCAACCGTCAGGAATCAAAGAAAGCTTCAGACGTTTGTAGGTAGTTTGAAACTCATTCGTGTGTGATGTACTATATATATATATATATATATATATATATATATATATATATATATATATATATATAGAAGGAAACAATAATAGCTAGCACCTTCTTGTATGCAATGGTGATTATTAATCGACAAGGTGAACGTTTTTTATGTGTTTGTGAAACAAAAAATACAGCAAAAAAAATTAGAATACATATGAAACAAACACATTATAAAATAACTAAAATGATAATCAATAAATTAAATTTTAATTTTAAATTAAAAAAATCATATGAAATAATATCTGGTTTTTATATTTATCATGGATTCTTATTTTATAAAATAGGAAATAAATGGTTGAATTTTTCTATGTTGCAGCTAAGCCTCTCCATGACGTCCCTGGGCCAATTCTGTGGATCCCATATTCTCCACCCATACTCATGAATGATTTTTGTCAGATATCTATTAGGAAGCATCAAAATTCTATGAAAAAATAATGGAAATTTAACTTGAGTTTTATTTTAGGTAACATATTTTTAAAACTTCCATTTTGTTATTTAAGATTTAAAGTTTTAAACATTTAAGTAATCGGATAACTGATTGAAACATTAACCGATTATCATGCTAATGTGGCGAGTGATGTAGAAGTGTTTTCATCTTCAACAAAATAATAAAACACTAAAAAAAATGGAGATCCAAAAAGTTGGCCTCTATATTTGGAGGTCAATAAAGCAGACCTAATATTTTATTCGATTTTTCTAATTATATATAGATTAACGATTTAATACATTAATATAATAATAAATATTTGGCATAAATATTTTTTGTTCTTGAATGCATTTTCTATCAATGATCTTGAATCATATGTTATTTTATTATTAAAAATGTTTTTAGGGTTCGTTTGGTTTGTAAGATTGTTTTTTAGGGATTTGAATTTAATGGAGGGATTTGGATTTGAAGGAATTTGAAATCAATGGTATGTTTGGTTTATAGGATTTGGAATGAAATTGAATTCCATTATTTATAAACAGTTTATAAAAAATTATAAATAATTAAACTACATTTTTACTAATCAATTATTACAAAACAAATGTTTTTAATTCAAAACTTTATTTCATACAATTCTACGAAATCCCGTGAAATTCCGAGCACCCCCTAAAGATTTCAAAATCTTATGTTTGTAGGATTCCAATTAAGTCATATCATTTCAAATCCGGACAATACAACAAACCAAACATGAGATTCGAATAAATTTGAAGTGGTTCAAATCCCCCTAAATCCACTTCATTATTGTAAACCAAACGGGACCTTATTGTATGATTGGACTTGTGTTTTTTAGTTTTGAAAGGACCCACCATTTTTCCATTTTATGATTCATATTCAATTTTAAGTCTGTCCTTAAGCAGAAGGCTTATACAGATGTATAAAGATTAGTCTTTGACCAAAAAAAACAAGAATCTTAACAGATTCCACTATATACCAGATTATAGTGGAATCCTTATGCAATATAAAAACAAGAATGCTTACGCATATGTGTAAGCATTCTTGTTTTTATATTTCAGAGAGCATCCTCTATGATATATCATCAATACATATCTAAGCACATATATAGTGTAGTAACAGATATATCCTACCTAATCAAATGAGAAATCTCCAATACAAAAGCATTTATTATAAGAAATTTTACAAAAGATAATTAGAAACAGATGACCAAACAAAGAAACGTGTGCTGAAACAGGTAAAACGAACCATCATCCATAAATAACGAGTTGAAGTAGCTTGTTCGTTCACTTAAAATGAGATGTCTAAGCCATCGTACTTTTCTTTTGTGATTTCATCCAAAATTTGGATCATTTCCGTCGTAAGATAATTAACGGAATCTCCAACTTTACCCTTTCTGAAAAAGAATTCATTGGATAAAACATTAGATGTCTCATCTCCATCCTTATTTGCCTTATTCGCCTCCTTTAATTTCTCAAAACTGCATAAATTTATCAGCTCTTCCACTCTTCCAGTGGCTTCCTCCTCTTCTGTAAAAGGATAACCTACGAACTTGGCTAATTTCTTAACCTCGTTATTTGCATCTTTCTGCAGTTCCTCATAGTTTAAGAATAAAACCTTATCTGGTCGTTCAAGGCTTGCTTTACGGTACCCAATCACATGGTCCCAAAAAGGTCCAACTGGGGAAATGCCACTGCTAAACATCTCAAATACATCCTTCAATTTTATCGAAGCAGATGCATTATCTCTAACCTTGTTCATGAAGTGCCAATAGGAAACAAACACATCTTTAGGGTTTCTACATATATAAACAATCCGACAATTAGAGCTAACGATAGATTCAGGCAATGAATTGTAAGGAATATGGGTCGCCATGAGGCCATTGGCGTAAGCAGGGTTGTTCAAGAAAGACTCGGTCTCGATGAAAGGGACACAATCATGGGGGCTGATAGTAAGCAACGGATGTGTTGAACTGGAAGAAAACCCGCTTTTGAACTTGGTTCGAGTCATAATGGCAAACACAAGGGCCTTAAGCCATGTTGTGCCAGATTTTGGATGACTGGCCAAGAAAACATCGGTTGGCTTAGCTTTGAAATCGTCTTGTGTGGCCATAATTGCTTCAACTGAGAAGCTAGCATTCGAATGATACCAAAAGCCTTGGTGGTACCAGAAACCTTGGTACTTGTACACGTGATTGTTCATCCAACTTTCCTGCTTCGGAAGAGTTGAGACTTTGTCCTTATATCGCTCAATGATCTCTGACATTTTTATTTTTCTTGCTTTTTCTTCTTCATCTTTTGTGATGATCGCTACAGGTGAATGGAAGACAACAGGGGAAAGCATCATAAACGTCAAGAACCAAAGAAAGCTTCAGATGTTTGTAGGTAGTTTGCAACTCATTTGTGCGTAATGTACCCTATATATAGAAGCAAATTCTAATAACTAACACCTTCTTGTACGTAAAGATGATTATTAATCGACAAACGATTTTTTAAAATATTCAAATTTCAGACTATTTTATTCATAACAAAATCAGTCGAATATTTTCGTCAAAATATTATACTTTAGTTTTCGTTATAGAAACCATTAAAAGTTAGTATGGTGTCATTTTCTCAATTATTAAAAGTTAGTATGGTGTCATTTTCTCAATTACTCCCCATATCTTCAGAGATCTTGATCTAACATATTAAAATCAAGATAATTTTTAAATATTGTTAGGGGTTGTTTATCAAATATTTAACTGGTAATTATTTACTGATAAGAGGTGTTATCTTCACTTATCTTGTTGGATAACATTCACGGTTATTAATTGGATTGTTTGTAACTTCTCTTACCTCAGTTACTGGGTAAGAACCTCGGTTATTGTCACACCTCTCACCTGGTAAGATTCTTGATCTTCACCCGCCAAGTGCTTGGTAATCAACCCCCTTATAATTTGATCCAACAAGTAAATTACACGCTTTATTTCGCATATGAATTGTAGGGTCGCATTCGTTTTAAATTGATTTTATGTGCTAATTTAGTCGAATTGTGGAACAAAGGCCACATTTGGCTTTGTAGCTTCGGTTGCATTCGTCAAAAGACAATATGGTTGTTGTTATTGAATGGTATATATAAAAAAAAACAAAGTGGTTGTCAAATGAGAACCAAAATATATTCAAGAGCTGTCGGAACCAATCTCAATCATTCGATAATTAAGTTTTATTTTGGACTAAAATTCAAGGTGGTATTACGGTTCATATATGAAATGTATATACGTGCAAGTTTTGTTTCATATGTGAAACAATCTTGAATTCGTATGTTTCACGTGTATTGTTTCATATATGAAAATGGTTTAATCACGTGACACCGTTCAAACCTTCACATGTGAATGTATGTATGTATGTATGTATGTATGTATGTATGTATGTATGTATAATGGTAGTTTACATAGTTTGGAGGAACTTAGCCTTGTAGTAATAGTCATAGGGATCGACATAAGTTTCACTAACGCTTTCCATTTCATACTTGAGAAACATCAACTCTAAACGTTCCCACCATTCAAGTCCTCGAGCCACTGCGCACCTTCCAATCACTCTCCATACCATCATCATCATCATCCTCCATGCTATCTTCATCATCATCATCCATGACATCACAAACATCATCATCGTATCCTTCAACATCATAGTAGATATGATCCCCATCCTAGCTCGATCTTCTTTTGTTTCTTCAACTCACCACCAAAACCCTTAATTCTCAAGAAATATAAAGTGGAAATGAGTGCTAATCGTTTTTAATTAAGTAATAAATAACGTAATTAAACATGCTTTTTTTGTGATATTTATAAACGGCTTATAATTAGTTCACGTAAAGGAACACAACTAGAAAAAGGGTGATGTGGAAAACAAATAATACGTTGTTACTTGTGTGATGTATGCAACGGTGTATAGAATTATGACGTTTTTCAGATAGCTTCTCTAAGATTATTTATTATGACGTTTTTCAAGTATTTGTGACGGTTTATAAAAGGTAGTTTCAAACATTTGGTTAAATTAAATACTATAATTTTTTTTTAATAATTTATTGAATTATTTATTTATTAAAATTAGATATTTTAGATTCAAAAATAAATGGGCCTCTAAGCCTCTCAAATTGAATTCTATGGAGCCCATACTGCTTTCCAGGCTCCCAGAGTTCCAGGCTTCCATCGGTCTATTTTTTGTCAAATATTTATTTTTATCTATACTATATTATAAAGTATTTGACAAAAATTCTTAAAAACCATTTTTTAT